ACTGAGACATGAGCAGAAATGTGATTTTAGTAACGGGAATATTTTCTCACCAATAATGCAATAATACAGTGTGCATCTCCCAGCATACATATTGATTAAATGCCAGCATTTTGTGTACATAGAAATTCCAGATGGCTAGGATTAATGCAAAAAAAAAAAAAGAATCAATGTGTTCGAAAAGGCCATCGCATGCTATCTTGGTGAATGTTTGAACATCTCTATAATGATGCATTACACTGTACAAGCTTTATGTGTTAGAGCATAACTATTCTGTAATTGCAAACTGAGGTTCATTTTATTATAATTTATTATAATAAATCTTCAGTAGATTGTTACCAAAATAGTCAACACAATCCAAGTTGCTAACTGTTAATTAAAGCTGGAGAGCTTTTGATTAATCAGACACCTTCCAGAGTGCAGTTAAAGTGAGCGAGCAGGAGAGTGTGTGTGTGTGAGGGAGGAGTGCGAGAACATCCCTCTGTATGCTGGACCATGTCTCTGAGCTGAAGGCGAATGGAGCTGGGGTGAGGGGTAGGAGGAGGTGGGGGTGGGGAGGTGCAGAGGATAACTGGCCCTGCTGGGATGGAGGGAGGGAGGCAGGGAGGGAGGGAGGGAGGAGGAGAACACAGCTAAAGAGAGGGAGGGTGCGAGAAAGGGAGAAGGAGAGGGTGGAGCATCGGACAGATGACAAATTGTGATTAATAAATGTGGTTCAGGACAGCAGTGTGGAGGGTTGTTATTAATAGAGAGAATTAGAGTGGCTGTGCAACTCAATCTGCACACTGTCACTCTGCATCAGGCCCCATAATCAGAGCCTAATGAAACAGCACAGCACCAGGATGTAGACACATCCACACCCGTGCACTCTGCTTACAAATCTACACTGTACAGTAAACACACATGCTCAGGCAGGTCAGAGAGAAAATAATGCATTTCATGTCAGAGTGCAAGAACAATATGACGCATGGACTCATGGGCCTGAATAAACAAACTTCTTATTCATCTTTGAATTATCTTGATCCAAGGCCTCCGTTTTTTCCATTATACTCCATGATATATCCCACAGCAGCCTTATATTCAAGGGTCCTATCAAATACAAGCATCAGATGTTTTCACATGCTACTTTTCATGTACAGACATGAATGCAAATGCAGCACTGTGTCCTCTTTCTTTCTTTTCTTTCTTTTTCTTGAACTGTAGATTCGTCAATTCCCTGGTTTTAGACATGCCCCAAATCACCTCTTTATATCCCTAATGACCTCTAAATTGATTTACAAGAGAGTAATCTACATGGCAAAGAATGGGAGCTTGATAGCTGGATTCCTGTCAGTGTTAACTGTGGAAGACGTGAGCAGTGGTCCCCGAGGAGTTACGGCCCTCCGGCAGCTATGTTCCTCATGGGGACGATATGTCATCATCCCTCAGAGCTGATGCTCAGTATGTGCTGGTCACACTCTCTGCACTGGTGTGGATTGTGTGAGAGTGCCACTATCCCAAAACAAAACACAATATGTCACATATACTTGTGTATGATATGTGACATATATCACTGACTGATATAGCTGAGGTTGTGGCACATATTACTATCCTGCTTGTAAGAAACATTTGGTTTGTTTTGTGCAATTAATTTAATTTTTTAATAAAAAATAAAATAAGTATAAATTTATTTAAATGTTGCTGTGAATGGCTGAATTGAATAATTAGTATGTCTTTAAGAAACTATGGAGACAAACCAGCCATAGCAGAAGAGAAATATAACATGAGTAATGTAGCCATAAATAAGTTCCTGCTCCTCCCTTACTTGTTTACACAGAACAGAAGAAAAAAAACGATAGCTGGAATTATGCAGGCGTGTGCACAAAAGACAGAGATTTATTCTTGGTGTATCATAATATATGAAATTAATTATTAAACAAACTAATAACTCAAACAGCCCAGTACTGATTCTCCTATGGCTCCTTTTCTATCGGTGACAGTGAGCCACTGTGAAGTCAAAGCAAGTGATGTGATAAAGCAATTGCATTGAATAAAAAAAAACATTTCATCAACATACTGCATAATGTTGAAAATTTAGGTGAGTGTGAATACTAAGGGGAACAAATCAAGAAGAGAATAGGGAGAGAAGGAGACAGACAGCTGAAAGACATGCGCATATTTCAATATTAATCACCTCAGTAATATTTTAACAGGCTTTAAAAATCCAATCCTGAGCATATTGCCTCTGACTGTTGGCAATGATTATCAGCCCCATGCTGCACAGGACCTCAGAGCACTGTTCTAGACTGACCCGCAAACTGGGACTGACACAGCATTTAACTCGATCCTGTGGTGCTCAGCTATACCAACATTTCCCAATGGAAATATCACAGGCCATGGCTATCGGAACCCTTCACACCCTACAACTCAATTTCCCACTAAAACCAATCCATCCTTGGGAAACCACCCTAAAACTCATGATGATTATACGCCTCTCCATGTCTGGTGGGATCAGGTCGGATGATCCCTACATTGCCAGACAGTGGTCATCATATCTGAGGAGAGAGAGGTCGAGGAGGAGGTGGTTGATGAAAAGGGAGTCATCAATACTGTATGTAGACCTATTCCCCTTGCTCCCACTGCTTCGGCCATTAAACTTTAAACATGCAGATCTGCGATTGTGCCTGTCAGACAGGTGACACAAGACCTCAAGGAAATGATATATGAGCTAAAGATGTTTCTGAAATAGAAGGTGTTAATCAATGTAGTAACTAAAATTGTGAAATTATTTAAATCATATTATATTTTGGCCAACATGGCATCACATTGTGTCCATACTGTCACTGCAGTGAGAAAAATGTTGATACAAGAGTACAAAACATGGCTTGCCATTACTAATGGTGCAAAAACTCTTTGTCTATGTACACCTGCATATGTCTACGTGTAAGCATGTGTGTTTGTGTGTGTGTAGACCAGAGTGCAGGCATTGCATGTGTCTGTGTGTAAGGTTTTAGGTAAAGGAAAAAGAGCAGCAGAATGTGTGGGGCAGGGTGTCTCACTAACGAGGCTTTATAGCTGTGGGATGCGAGTCACACACACAGACAATGGTCAGGGGAACATTTAGTGTCTTCTCTTCATTCCTCACACATCATGCTGAGGCAGCTTTTACTTAGTCACCCTTCTCTGTCCTCCCTTCCCAGACACACCGAAGATGAAAACATCCTCCTTTGTTTTGCCTTATCAAAAAATTTTGCTTGCAAAGAGTTTGTCTCTAACAACAGGTGAATGTTGGGCAGACACAGATGGGAGGCATCAGCACAGTCTAGCCCTCATTTGTGTCAGTTTACAGTGAAATAATATTTGATTTGGCTCACAAAAAATAATAATGTTGATTCATAATATATATATATATATATATAAAATAGAATAGAAAACATATGTTAGCCCTCGCTATGTTGGCAATACATTTTAACATCCATAAATTCAGTGGATTTTTTTATTAGACACAGAAGAGCAACATAAAAATGCAGGTATGATGTAAAGGACAGAGAGAGAGAGAGAGAGAGAGAGAGAGAGAGAGAGAGAGAGAGAGAGAGAGAGAGAGAGAGAGAGATCTAACAGGTGTCGACTAGGACTGCCCATGGACCAAACACTGCGATAAGCGATACAGTGGACAGCTACTCTGGACGGGGGCGTCAGATTGCTGCGCGTTCCTCATTTGGAATTGTGTCAAAAAAAGTGCTCTCGCAGGTATGTTCTGGGCTTCATTTCCTCTGAAGTTAGCAGCATTTTAAACTCCATTTTCTAACTGGAAAGAAAAGAGGGGATTAAGCGCTGATTAGGAAACTCTCATCACTTTCCTGGCATCTCCTGCGCGCCCGTCGGCTCCCCGGCTCTCCATTTGGCACTCCAGCGGTCCAAAGTCTTTCAGTCATTTTGGTGGGACGCGGACTGATGCTGATGCACAGAGAATTTTATCCTCCAGAAATAATATTGGATTATAAACAGTAGATGGTGAGTTTTTATTTGTCTTTTTCTCTCTCTTTTAACAGTTTTAAATGTAACCAGAAACACGTTCATGGCGCGTTGTAGATTGTCACATATATGTAATTTAGCCCTGCCATTACCTCATCTATGAAAAAATATATATATTTTGCTCATTTCATAATTTTTTGCACCATCTTTATTTTAGAAAATATTATTTTGATATTTATTTTATCATTTCGTTTTAAACACTCTTTGAATTAATGCATTAATACCATAGTTAAATTATAGCTATATAACAGTGGTAAATAAGGACAAATCAATTACTGTCTTTGCTCTTTTTGCCAATCTTTCCAGATCCAGATATAAAGAGGAGGAGGAATCTATCAAAAGCACACCCAGTTTTACAAAACAGTTATTGGGTTACTGAAAAAAACTCCTTTTTAATGTGGACAGTGGAAACAACATAAAAGTGGAGGGTCATAAGATGATTGTGTCAGAAAAAGATCTCTGATGAACTTTTGTCGCTTATAGTCATGGCATTAAGTGAGATGTCCACATGAAGTGAAATCCTGTGCTTTGTAGGGAACGCTTGAAAGAAGATTTTTCTTTGTCTGTAAATCAGACTTAATCCAAGACAACAAACAACACCTCCACGTCCTCCTCAATGAGCTGAATTTGGAACCAGCCCTCATTTCAGCACACTTTTAATAAGCCCCGCTCTCACAACAACCCTCTCAGTGCCAGTCATGGTTTGTGTTTGATGCTGAAAAATAAACTGAACTGGAGGGACAACAGGGGAAGTCAAAACAGGTGAAACTGGACTTCATCTGATAAATTATGTTTTTTGTAGTGGGTGAGACGTACACATTTTTGTGTTTATTTCCCTAAACACTGTGGTGTGTGACGATTTCACCTTTTTAACCATAGGCTTTTTAAATATCTCGTTCCTGGTCCATTGGACATCATTTCTCTAGGATCCTCTCATCCGGTTGTTTCCTTTCTGGCTGTCTGCCATTTTGCGTTTTCATACTTAGCCTAGTGATACACTCCTCTCCACATCCTTCTTCACCTTTTCAAACCATACTGTTTCTCTGAGAGGCTTCATCCTGGCCGGCACTATTCCAGCCAAAGGGGAAGAGGACTTCCTGACGCTGGCCGCCTCGCGGCTCAGCCGCAGGAAACGCGTCATTGGAGCTGCTGTAGGTGTAGCCATGGTTCTGATACTGTTGGTGGCCATTCCCCTGCTGGTCCACACAACCAAAGGGAGGAACACCGGAAATGCAGGGAGCCATTATGAAATGCTTGGAAGCTGCAGGATGGTATGTGACCCCTATGCGACGTCTCAGCCTGGTCAGGAGCTGACAGCTGTGTCACCACCTCCCCAGGATTACTCTGGGAAAAAGATAAAGTCTGGGCTTCGTGGGCCGCCAGGGATCCCTGGCCCTCCAGGAGCACGTGGACCCCCTGGAGAGCCAGGCAAACCAGGGCCACAGGGACCCCAAGGTCCAGGTCCTGGTGGCTATTCTCCCTCGCTCTACACTCCCAAAATTGCATTTTACGCAGGGCTACGCAAGCAGCACGAGGGGAATGAAATACTGAAATTCGATGATGTGGTGACCAATGTAGGTAACTACTATGAGCCCAGCACCGGCAAGTTCACCTGTCCTCTGCCTGGCATCTACTTCTTCACCTACCATGTTCTAATGAGAGGTGGTGATGGGACCAGCATGTGGGCAGACCTGAAGAAGAACGGACTGGTTAGTAAATATGTGTGTGAGAATGCGCACGCATGAAAGTGTGTGTACAATAGAGGGTTTGAATGTATGCGTTTGTATGTATGCACACACACGACCATGCAACAGATTTTTTTTTTCACTGGTGACCATCCTGTGTTACCATTGACTCACATTCACCTCTGTATTGAGCTCTTCAGATTCAGAGCACATTCCACTTAGCAGGTGGCAACATGACAGCCAAAGAATGAAATAGCAGTCTTTCTCCTCATTAAGGGGAATTCATGCTATACAGTCTAAAAATCACAGCTACCGTTATTTGCATTCCCATGTCATGTACTGTGGCTAAATGACAAGTGGCAGAATGCACAAGCCGCCACCACCAAAAGGAACAGTCTAATTAGTAAGTATCATACACAGAGCTTGATTATCGCCTAAACAGAAGTGCAAAAGAGCACCAGAGAAATGTCTGTCAGTACGTGGACCAGTCAGTTTACACCTCAGCTAAATAAATAATGAATGTAAAATTGACAGTCCACTCATCCACTCCCTCATTCCCCAGACACTAATTAAAGACAGAGGGGCTGATGGGGGGGAGAGGAGAGGAGAGGTGGGATAAATCACAGGGATTTCATCAGAGGACTCCAAATTCAGGAAACATTCTTCAAGTTGCTTTTTACATTCATTCCTACATCAAGGACTTTAAATGCAAATGCTCTCTTCTCAGACCTCACTCTCCAGACATGTAGTGTACCAAGGACTGTTTAAACAAATGCACACAGGCTCATGTAGGCTCAAACATACTGTATGGTCCATCACAACAGCTGTAAATAAAGTTGATTTAGAACGGCTCATTTAGACTTGATTTGGTGAGATGTAAAGCGACATGTTTCAAATCATTCTTCATTAACCATGATAACCATGATTTACTATACGTATATGCTTGAGACATTCACAAAAAGTGAATGTGTGTTTAAGGGTGCTTGGTTAAAGTCCTATATTGTCATTCAAGTCATCTTAGTCTGCTAAATAATTTATACATCTTGGATTAGATCCCTGATCACCAGCTATACTTTCCTCTCCCAACCCCTCCCAAGCTTGTTAATTGATTTTCCATTAATTATCTTTTCACATAACTCAATCATTTAACTTCACCCAGGTCCATCTGATGCCCATCAGGTTGCCTCCTTAAAAAGTTCAGTTAAATAGAACACTCACTTAACAGGAATCTACCCAAACAGAGCTGCTGGTAGATGAAAGTGGAGAGTAAATGAAGTGTTGCAGAATGCCTGATCATATTTGGAGTTATTGAAGCCCTGAGGCAGGTGGGTACTCTGCCTGTCAGTCAGTGGCTAGGGTTTACTAAATGGGCGCTATGTCTGACAAGTTGCATTCCTGACTATAGAATCAAACAGCCTGTTTTACTATTGCCGTAGGTGCTGAGGCTTTATTGGATATTTTGTCTGCCCATTGGGGTTTCTTTAACCCAAAAATGCCATAGCTACAAATTTGCTACCTTCCGTTTCTGCTTGTGTTGTAACTTTTACCCCTTAACAGATAAGCTCATTTGTAACCTTGGCTTTGTTAGGCTGCCAGTCCAAAAAGATTCAGGACTCAGACAGATTCAGTGAGAATGAATGGAACACAAGAGACTTGACATGACAGGGGCATACTGAGACGTCCATTTGGAGATAGTGAAGGGGGGGGGGGGGACAAGACAAGTGAGTTGATGTGAAGATCAGGGGTGGAGCAGAGGAAGATAGATGACTTAATGGAGGTGCAGAGACAGTGGGCTGGTAGACGAGGCATCAGGGAGGCTGGTGGTGAAGGCCAGGATGAGATCAGGCACGATGACCAATGGACACCCACTCAACACGTCTCGGCTTGACAAGTCATCAAGGCCGGCAAGAAAAAGAGAGAAAGAAAGGTTGAAAGCAGAGAATTAATTAGTTCTGGAAACCAATAGATTTTTTGATGTATAACTTGTGTATCTTTGCTAATGATCTTTAAATAGGGGAACTGTATTGGCTGTTGGACTATGTTGTGTCATGTGACATGTGTTTTGTATAATACGATGCCAGGATCTCAGGAGGATGTGCTGACTGTGGCAGGGCTTCCATGGGATTCCTATAGATCCAATACCTATTACCTTCACTAAATCCCCACTCTGTAAAGCCTACCTGCTCACACCTCAATCTAACTTTCACAAATCATTGCAGCATGACAGGGCTTCAGAGTCAGGGGATTTGTGATTGAAGGGGGTCACACTTCAGTTGCTTCCATGTTATGCAGTGGCAATTGATTTACAGTACAATTATAAGGTATGATGTGAATGTTTCCTCAACACTGTTACACCCTATTCTTATTCAGCTGATCAACCCCCAGTTGTTTTATCTGCACAGTCAGGAAACACAAGGCACACATTGCCAAATTTGATAACCCAGTTTTGGAAGATGATCCATATCATATCCCTATGATACCTAATGATTGAATATTGATTTAGCCTTGCTCAAAATAAATAGTTATGAATGCACTTCTCATGGTGCCACTGCTATAATAAAGGCGTTTAATCACTCTGTTACTAAATCACTGTCAAGGATATATGAGTTGTATGCTACTGAATATTCCAGCTTATTATTAACACAGTTTATGCTAACGTTGGCATGCTTTATGCGATAAAGGGTGGTAATACGTCATGTGTTTCTTCTCAACAGAACTTCTCCATTTCCCCTCATTAATTGATATGTGAGCTGTTCACCTTTTCATTTATATTCCCATTGTGGAACTGTATACATATATTAAACATTCTTAATACAATGTGTAATGTAGACAAATAGATACTGGCTCGGCTCCCATTTAATCCCTCCCTTGTTTTTTCACCTGTCATAGACTTTTTTAATAGCTCAGTTGAAGGTCAAGTTATTTCACACTGTAGTGATAAAATGTCATCACTCGCTGTAATGACCGGAACCTGCATTAACTTCTGCGGTACAGAGACATAGATATGGTACAGGTGAAATAATAATTAGCCTTACAGTGAGGGCCAAGAAAAAGTTAGATACAGAGCAGCATTTGTTCTATGAAGACAAGTCAAATGTTGTCTTTTAAGTCTATAAGAGATCCACGTAAAATATCATGATGTGCCTCTGAGTAATTAAAACAAGTAAATTTCTTTCATACTGTGCACAGGTTTGATCATTATAGTGCAGCAGACTACAGACTGTAATACTGAATAGCAGGCAATAGCAATCTAAGGTACGGTTCAATGCTACAGTCGCTTGTCACAATGTAATCCCTGAGCTCCCAGAGGAGAGGGAAAACCTATTCAATAAATATTCTATTTCCACAACATCGTGCCCCCCCCCATCCGTCCCCAACCCTCCTGCCATGTGCTGGAGTCCCTTAGGTAAGTTTAACAGCTACTTTTCTATTGTCTCCGCTCTAAGAGGTCAGTATATCACAGTGAATGAATCCTGTCAGTTTTATTACCAGTGGAGCACAGCACCACAGATAAAAACAAGACTTCATATACCACCACCACATCTCCCTGGTCTCACAAAATAGCCTCGCTTGATCAGTCTGTTACTCTAGGCCCCCCTCCCTCCCCTTTCCTCACCCCTCTGGCCCTTGTTTTTGTTTTTCCTCCCTCTCCCTTCTTTTTGTCTATCCTTGTCTGTCTTCTGCGCTGCGTCTCCACTTGTATAGAAAATGACACTGCAGCTGCTCCCCACCACCCTCCTCCTTCCTCCTTGCCTGTGGCCCCCTCTACTCCCAGGCGTGTTTACTGGAGGCCCTATAATGAAAGGGCTAGGCGGAGACAGAGATGGCCACAGGCAAGCCCTGGGGGCCCCTGCCTCACGGCTCACAACCCTTCCAGCTCCAGGATCAGCACAGTATGCTGCCTGGTTCACATGGATCAGTCTGTGTCCTTCAGCCGTATCCATCTCCTCTGTCGGCTTCCTGTCCTAATCCCACCACGGCTCCCTCATGCCTCTCTGTCTGGTATATGCATTAATGGATGGCTTGCATTATTCCTTCACGCACAGGAACATCAGCTGAAGCACCAATTCATACATCATAGATTGGCAAAATAATCTCTACGCTTAATGATCAATATTATTCTGTTGTATAGAATTCAACCACACTTCCATGCATTAAGTCATGAGAATCTGAGAAGGCCTTAAGGTTGGAAAGATCTCCCTACATCTCCCTCCGTTACATTGTTTGGCCAAAATAATGAGCAAGATGACATATGCCTTGTGTCGATAGGAAGTCACAGCAACAGCATCACTGTCAGCTGCAGCTAAAGATGCAAATGTGATATTGGCTGTCACTACACATGTCAAGCAGAAAAACAATATAACCTTTACAGATGACAATAGATTGGTGTCGTTATTTGAGAGATGGTCTTATGAGGGCATTAGAAAGGGTAGATTATATTCAGTGTTTAATTATACTAATTGGGCAGTAACAAAAGAATACACAGTCAAATAATTTGTATGGGTCTGATTGTAAAACCAATTGCTTAGATTTTCGAAATGATATATATACATCAGTTAGCTAAATTATTTGTAATCACATGACGATGTAGTATATTGTTTAAGTGTCCATAGACAGGGTCAGGCCAGATTACCACCAACCTGGTTGTCTATGCAGTCTTTCACTTTTACATATCCCAGACAGTCTTTGTCATGTCTAGACAGACTGAGGAACAGGTATTATTACTGTATCTCACTTTCACTTCCTCACCATTTTTTCCCCACTGAGCCAGTGTTTCTTTTAATTCTAACTTTTCCAACTGAATGTAGATTACACTGGTCACTTATTCTACATTAAAATAAGAAAAGTTGAATAGCTCTGGAGTGAGAAATATAGCTGCTTTAAAAGCACCCCTGAGCATTATAGAATCTAAAGAAACAAGACTGTTAAAACTATAGCTGTTTGGTTTTACTGTGGGGTTGCAGAGCTGTAAAGCCTCAGGAGATCTACTGCTCTGCTTCTTTAATCAGTCGGGTTTAGAGTGGACAGGGACATGCTTAACCACTGATCACCAACCTGCTGTATGTTGGATGCAGCATCCATGACCTGCATCTCATTTAAGGAGGCTAGTAGAGAGTGTCCAGGAAATTGAACACAGCTCCAGCTTTTGATATATGGTGGACAATGTGCTCAGACGAGGGCAAAATGGATCGGTGCAGGGGGAAAATAGCATATTTTTTTAGTTACAGTAATTCAGGCTCTGTTGCCCAGCGATTGACTGTCTCAAATTGATGCATGCTCGTTGGGGAGAAAGGGGCCCAGTGATGGGAATGACATGATGGTAGTTGAGTTGCAGATCATATTCTGTGGCTGTCATAGAGATGTGCGTGGCTTGTCTGGCTGCTGACACAGATTGAGTGCTCCCACCAAAGATGGACACTGAGCCAGACACAAGGCCACTGATGGCTGACATATGCCTGATGATTGGAGCTGCTACACCAGAATTATTGATACATCCTACTTAGGAGGTTTTTAGGAAAGCAACCTAGTGTACGAATATACTTTTCTGCACCTTCCCTATCTATCTACCAACAATTTTTGAAAATTGTGCAGTCATACTATACATGAAGGGCTTATGGATCTTATTCAAGACATATACATACTTCATTCTTTACATTTACCTTCCAGTTTAAAAAAACATTGAATAATGTGGGAATATAAGCTTGGTGTGTTGCTTATAAGATTAAAAGTATAATAATAAATAGACAAATCCTGTTTCATCTACAACTGTAACTAGTTATCTAGGCATGTGTATTTAAATGTCCACAATGAGTTAACCCAATTAAATGTGTTAACAAACAAGTAAAGATCCACTGCTGCTGGGTCAATAAGACCAAACTCACACACAGCATGCAAATGTGAAACTGTCTGGCTTGAGCATAGCCACTCAATATCATGCATATTGAGCTGGCCCGGGATCATAAGCAACAGGTCAATAGCTGGTATGGATAGTAATGCTGTTTCTCGGCTGAGCTAGTTTCCCTATAGACAACCTGTTGTCCCCAGTGAGTCCGCTTATCTCCACAACCCAATCAGATCTCCATCCCCGGCCCTTTGCCCTGAGCCCCAGCCACAGCTGATCAATGAGAAGCAGAGTGACTGTGTTCTCAGTCCACCTCTGGGGTCACAGGTCACAGTCCCATCCATCTGTTTATCCAGCGTGAATGTGGAGGTGATGTCATGCTCATGAGTGTCTCATTTAAAGGCTGTTAATAATTTACCATCTGCAAAAAATTGTGAAAAAAGTGTAATAAAGGAATAGAATGAGATATGGTAGCTTTAAAGTTACTTTTAAAGAGTTCCTGAAGCTGATGAGTAAGTGGTGGTGACATTTGCAAGTGTTTGTTCACTTTCGTCCATGTTCTAATTGTCAATGCGTATGTCCTCTGTGGGTGACAGGTAAGAGCCAGTGCCATCGCTCAGGACGCTGATCAGAATTACGACTACGCCTCCAACAGTGTGATCCTGCATTTGGACGTGGGCGATGAGGTGTGTGTGCAGCTGGATGGAGGGAAGGTCCACGGAGGGAACACAAACAAGTACAGCACCTTCTCCGGCTTCCTCATCTACCCAGACTGAATCTAATCCTCACTTGCAGAGAATGGACACCAACACACACATAAACACACTCACACTCACACAGACATGTATGTATGCAAATTAAAGCACACACACACAGAGAGATGCACGCGCAAAATGCCTGCAGTGCACACAAAAATATATACAGACATATGCAAGCAAGCACAGACACACACACACACACACACACACACACACACAATACAGACATCTTGAGATTACAACAGATTACAGAAATGTGGATGGAGTGAATATCAGAGATAAGTGGCATTAAGTGGAATTGTGTGATTTTGAGCCAGTTATCAAGAGCAACTGCATTTATTGGCGCCCTTTGAGTGCAAATATGAATTTCAGAAGATGTACAGTATAGGTGCACATAATAATTGCACGTTGTGGCTCCGAAATATCTAAAATACTTTAATGTGTTCCATATTAACTGACATTGTGAGAACTAGAATATATCAAACACCATGAGTCTGATTGTTTTTACTGCAATAATGGTGTTGAGGGTGCCATTAATCAAGATGACTAAGCTGAGGCAAATGCACACCTACTGTATTCCAGTATTTACCTTACAGTATTCATTTCTGCTCTCCATTCTAGTGACCTCTGATCGACTGGCCTAACCTATATTTTGCAACTCATCATTGTAAAATATTTAGCCCTCAAGTGAATTACGCCAGTTGGAATTAATTAATCCCTGTTGTGATTCACCCTGTGTTTGGGGCAGTACTGATTAAAAAGAGGCCATCTGAATAAACACAGATGTTTGACCTTTCTGTCCTGTTTCCATCATGACACAGGATATCACACAGCAAGATAAAACAATGCATATTTATATTACAAGGCAACACATTTTATGGATGGCACTTGTGTGTGATGAAGTTCTAATTGCCAAGTGCATTATTGACAATATTGTGTGTATGTGTGTGTGTGTGTGTGTGTGTGTGGGGGCGGGGGGGTATGTCAGTATGTATGAGCGGATATATAGATACTGTAAGATAATGAGGCAGTGAAAAGTAACAGCTGCACTGTTTTATTTACATTAAATGTTGTATAATACATTACAGACACGTTACTGTAATTACACTGCCATACTTACTTAGTACTTTATTTTTGAGAGACCCTGTCAAAGTATCATCATATGTATAAACAGTAATCCTGGGATGGGCTATCTGGTATGTTGAATAGGTTGAGCAGATAATTGCTATTAAAATATCTATACCTACCTTGTCTGTGTTCTTGCATATTGTTTTGGCGTGGTGAAGGTCAGCGCTGAATAAAGGCATGTGCGTTTAAATCATAAACACACACAGACCCTTATTCAGTTTGAATTTGGAGTTGGACTAACTGTGAAGAATTGGATGTATGACATGGCTGCGTGGACTCCCAGCTGAAATCGAAGCCACAGCGGCTGACCACAGCCACTGCCTGCTAAAGCATGGATTTCCAATATGTCTTAAGACACTGTCTAAGACACAAACATTAATACCACTATATTGATCTCAGCTTATAATACACCCAGGATCTACAAAATCCAGCCATTTTAAATGTAACAATATAGTGATCAATTGTACAAACAAACCAAATTGGTTCAGTGTTCGACAAGGCTTGACATAGTTTATCAGGGTTTTCAACCAGGATAATTTGTTGGAGAGCCCACCAATAATAAGAAAGACATGCAGGGAACTGGTGAGATTGACCTTAAATAATATTACCTTTCTCTCAATTTATCGATAAATAATAAGTTATGCTGTGCTCTTTCTCTTATACACATACACTTATTCTGCCTCTTTGAGGAAATTTATATTTCTGAATATATTCAGTGTATGTTTACACTACTATGGCAAATCAAATTCCCAAATTAGTGATTTATCTAACAATTATTTTCTCAATTAACCAGCTGATTGTTTGGTCAAATGTTCAAAATGTAAAACATATCCATCACAATATCCCAGAATGCACAGTGGCTTTTTCAAATGTCTGTTTTTGTGTGACCAACAGCCCAAAACACAAAGACACTCAGTTTAATATCATAAAGGACAAAGAATTCCCATTTGAGATGCAAGAACCTGCGAAATGTTGGCATTTTTATGGGAAAATTAAATGTCTTGATAAACAATAAATTTTCATTCAATTAATGAAAATAGTTAAACAGCAGATTAATTGTTAGTCTGTTTTCGTGTCCATGCTATCACCCCCTGCTCTAGGTGTTTTATAAACTATCTTGTGTATGTTACGGTACACATGGCATTAAATGAACGATAAACACTACATATATTGAAACTGGGGGGGTTTTAACTCATAAAGGTATACAATTGTTTACAACAATGTGTACAAATCACAACTATGTGTGAAATAAAACTACACACTGTATGTCAGTTTCTACACGATTAATACGACCCGTTTATTCTATATTTTCAATATAACCACTTTAGCAGCTCCTAAACCAGAGCGAGAGAGACATCATTTCCATGTTAAAGAGAATGAATCTTAGATTATTGGCAAAAAGTAAAGTGTTTAATTAGAGTAGAGCGAGGATGGCATTCTAGACTTAAAGGATTTGGTGAATCTGTTGCTCCTGAGTGGAGAAAGAGGGATGTAGCCGCGCCATGCCTGGGCCCAGCCCCTGGCTCTCTCTCTTGGCAGATTCCAGTTGAAAGTTAATTGGACGGGGAGAGGTCTGAGACAGGCTGCGCTGAGGCCCATTAGTGATTCCCCTGTCGAATGCAGAGCCACGAGGATCACAGACTCACAAATAGGAGGATTAAAATAATCAATAGCCTTGACTTCCATCGACCACACACATACACACACACACCGAGTAATTAGTGGACAACCTATTCAGCAGTGGACTATGACACCCTCCTGAACCTTACCCCACACACATAAGCTCCACACTCCACTAGCTGTGGTGCCTAATGAGGGGAAATAGTTGTGGCTGCTTGTGAAGAAAATGAAGAAAAGGTCAGGAAGCCACCAAACAGCCTTCTACTGCTCATATCCTAGTGCTCTGTCACCAAACCATTTCTCAGAAAATTTACAGCATGGTCACAGAATATCTGAAATATTTTTGGGCTGAAAAAAAACCCCCAAATACATCCCTTAACAATTGCAACCAACAGCAGAAACTCAAAATTGTCTCAGACTGCCAATAATGTTTTATATAGTATATTGACATGAGCACCAATGCCTACACTCAAGATTAAATTCTTCATTTGGTTCAAAAAGCATAAAGAGCAGATCAAGATATTCCTCTTGTATTATACACACTGTATATTTTGACAGTAAAGTGACCCTTTTAACATAGATTCCAGTAGCAACACTGCCCTCTTGTGTCGATGAAAAAACATGAATGCATTGTGTAAAACCTAATAAGACAAGGAATCTTACACTTTATTCTATCAAATCAAACAAAACCACCGAGATAAGTTTTCAGGAAAAAAACATTTATTTAGATGCAGCAACAAAATTGGGGTCAATTAAAAACATGGGAGCCCATCTGAAATGTCTCGTTTTACCTCATGATAGTATGGCTTTGAATACATCGGTTAACTGCAGAATTGGAGGAACATGATCCTCTGCCAAAGCAAGTCTTAGCCAATGATACAGTAGGTTGCTGACAGTTATTACGTATTTCTATATATTAATGTCCCATCCAACATTGACACAATGTATCAATAGTATCAATAGTTACAGTATACCATTATCAATTTATGTCGTCCTAAGTGCTGCATCTTGGAATGTTATTGCAAACAATGCAAGCACAAAGACAAAGTCATTTGTGGTCTTTTGTAGGGAATGTAAAGGCACTTCTTAAATTAAATGTGGATAACTAATCCATGGAAACGGTCGGGTGGGTGGGTGGGGGGACTGTAGAAGCTTAACTGCAAAAAGAGGGTACATGTGACAGGGTAAAAAAGTGGGATGCTCTTCGTCTTCACCCGTTCATGACCATCCTGACCAGTTCTGTAAAAGAGGAGAAAGAGACAAATGTAAGACTCACTGTCTAGATCTTCGCAGGGACCCCCTCCAACTACAGCATGTGGCACTAAGGCCCCCTCCTCATCCAGCTTTGGTGAGCCCGGGTGGGAAGTGCTGCATTTGGAGGCAGAGCCCCCATATTCTGCCCACCCAGAGGAAAAAGAAGGGTTGAAGGGGGTACTGAGAGAAAGAGGTGAGGTAATCATCTCTATCTCCTATTCAGCCAAAGCATTTGGCCATGTCTATGATCCAAGAAGAGCTGGTTAGAGAAGCCATCCTCGCTGTTTGCTTTCCTCTAGTTGAGAAGCAAAGAAAAGTTCAGAAGATCGAGGGAGCTACAGTCCAGTCAGAGAGCGGCCAGCTAAAAATTCAGCTTCCATCAGTACAGAGGAGAAAACAATCAGCACAAGAGCAACTCATTGCAATTCTCTGGTTAGTAGAAAAAAGGGACTGGTCTACTCTCCCAAAGCTGGTGGCTATCCTCAAATTTACCACATGTCTACAATGTAATGAACTCTCTATTTTATCTGTCTATGAAAAGAGCAGCACCTCTAACACCAACAGAGGAAAAAAAGCCTATTTTAATATCACCATTGACATGCAAATTAGATTAAAAGAGCTGGCTAGTGAGCTCCACACCCATCAGCTCACATAACAAGACAGTGGCCACCAGGCTTTCCCTGAATGAGACCAGTCACTTCTCTATGTGTCCACAATATCCCCTTATAAACTGAGGGGAGTCCCAGACACATGCAGAGGGGCATGCTGCAGCCAGGAGCCAAGACAGAGGGCTGCAGGAGAGAGAGACAGAACAGCAGGGGGCTACACATGGGCAGAAGCCTCAGGACTAAAGATGAGAGAGACCACCAGGCTTTCCCAAAGGCACCTACGGGTCAAATCTACTTTCCAACAGCACATTGCTCCTGTTTGCCAATATGAGGAGAACAACTACAGCTGATTAGTGTTAGGATAGCCTAATGGGAGTGGATTATCATTAACTAAAATGCAGGAAAGCCTGGAGGTGCCATCTCATGATATACCCAATGCCCGTACCGGCCCTCAGCCTGACATGATGTGGCGGACAAATGCTGTGGAGGAAGAACAGTTAACACACTGTCAGCCGTTGACATTTACACATGGCCTCTTAAAGCAGACAATTAAACACAGAAGTTTAAACAACACATGACAAGACAGTAGACAGTACAACGGATAGACACCCACCTCAACAGACTACATCAAGCACAGTCAGTTTAGTAGTTAAAAAGATGCTTCTAACTACATTTTTTCCTCAAATGCTTTCTCTTGGCAACTACACAATATTTCACTTCAACACAGCACACATAAAGAGTAATTCATGACTGAGGTTTCATTATCACATTGCCAAGACTGGGTATGATGGTTACATTGAATAGTTCGCCCGAGTTATGGAAACGGAGTCATAACACAGCATCAGCCTAATTATAGCAAGTATCCCATGTTGTTCTTGTTTATTTTTTTGCTCTCACCTTCATAATTGATGCATCCATTTGCATCTTCGTGCCCCGCCAAGAGTGTCTCCACTTCCTCCTCTGACATTTTCTCACCTGAAAAAGGAACATTTATTACTTTACATGGGTGACATTACCATGGTTTTATTTTATTTTATTTTAAATATGGGACAAAAAGTTATTCCACATTTACACAGAAACTAATATTATAGGAAATAAATGACAACTAAGAAGAATGATAATAAAACTAAAAATACATCTGCATACCCCATGGTGCCAAACCAAATATTCACTTCTAATTCACTTTTAATGCCATGTTCATTCATTTTTCAGTAGATTAATTTTGCACTGACACAATCTACAGTGGAGATTACAGTATGTAATGGTATGTGCAAAAGAAACCAGGCCAAAATAGTCTTTCCATGCAGACATCCATTCAGAGGTGATAAAAATGGAACTTGCCTAACGTGGTGAGGACGTGACGGAGCTCTGCTCCCATTACTGTGCCGTTGCCCTCCTTGTCAAAGACACGCAGTCCCTCCACAAAATCCTCCATGGAGCCCTGATCTTTATTCTTAGCAATGGCCTGGAACATGGGCAGGAACTGCTCAAAGTCTAGCATCTTGGTGTTCATCTCTGAAAAAGAAAAGAAAAACTCTTGGCACTCAGTACAACATTGTGACAGAAAAACTAGAATTATGAGAGAAATTATTTTTTCAGCACAGTGACAATATAATGATTTATGGACATTTAAGAA